CTATTACAGCCCTACCTGCAGACTGAAGGGTCCCAGGTTCAATTCCGGTCAAGGACACATGCCTGGGTTGTAGGCTTAATCCCCAGTAGGGGGCGTCCAGGAGGCAAGCCGATCAATGAGTCTCATCATTGATGTTTTTATCTCTCTCTCCCTCTCCATTCCTCTCTGAAATCAATAAAAACGTATTTTTATTAAAAAGAGCAACTTCAAAACAAATAAAAACAAACTATTACAGCCCGGACAGCATGGCACAGTGGTTGAGCGTCGACCTATGAACCAAGAAGTCAAGGTTTGATTCCTAATCAGGGCACATGCCCAAGTTGCAGGCTCCATTCCCAGTGTGGGGTGTGCAGGAGCCAGCCAATCAATGATTCTCTCTCATCATTGCTGATTCTCTCTCTCTCTCCCTTTCCCTTCCTCCCTGAAATCAATAAAAGTATTTAAAAAACTATTACAAACAATAAGCAAATATAGTAACGTTATAGGATACAAAATCAATGTACAAAAATCCACTGCATTCCTATTTACTAACAACGAAATTTCAGAAAAAGAAATGAGAAAAGATTCCTTTTGCAATTGCAATAGAATGAATAAAATACCTAGGAATAAATTTAACAATGGATGTGAAGGAACTATATATTTAAAATCACAATGCATTATTAAAGGAGATTGAAAAAGACACGATAAAATGAAATGATATTTCATGTTCATGGATTGAGAGAATCAACAGTTAAAATGAACATATTACCCAAAGCAATATATAGATTGAATGTAATCCCCATCAAAATTCCAATGTCATTTTTTAAAGAAATAAAACAAAATATAATCAGATTTGTATGGAACTACAAAAGACCTGGAATAGTGAAAGCAGTCCTGAGATAAAAGAACGAACCTGGCCCTAGCTGGTTTGGCTCAGTAGATAGAGGGTTGGCCTGTGGACTGAAGGATTTGATTATGGTCAAGGGCACATGCACGGGTTGTGGGGGCTTGATCCCCAGTAGGGGGCATGCAGGAGGCAGCCAATCAATGAGTCCCTCTCATTATTGCATTATTGATGTTTTTACAACCGGTGGACCCCACGCCGGGCATTAACCGCCCCTGAAATAAATAAAAATATAGCCAAAACAAAACACACACACACACACACACACACACACACACACACACACACACACACAGAACGAACCTGGAGGTATCACACTACCTGACTTCAAATTATACTTCGCAGCATAGATAATCAAAACAGCATGATACTGGCAGAAAAACAGTAACACAGACCAATGGAACAGAAATAAGAGCCCATAAATAAAACCACATATATATGGGCAAATAATTGTTTACATAGGAGCCAAAAATACACAATGAAAAGAAAGTCTCTTCAATAAATGGTGCTGGGAAAATTCAAAAGCCACATGCAAAAGAAAGAAACTAGACTACAGCTTGTCCCCATGTACAAAAATAATTCCAAATGGACCAAAGGCCTAAATATAAGATCTGAAACAATAAATTACACAGAAGAAAACATAGGTTCTAAACTCATGGACCTTGGTCTTGGAAAAGATTTTATGAGTTTCATCACCAAAGGCAAGGGAAGTAAAGGCAAAAATAAATGAATGGGGCTATATAAAACTAAAAAGATTCTGCACAGCAAAAGAAACAAAAAGGAAACCAACTGAATGGGAGATAGTGTTTGCAAACAGCAGCTCCGACAAGGGGTTAATATCCAAAATATAAACAGAACTCATACAACTTAACACCAAACAAACAAACAACACAATAAAAAAAAAAAAGATGAGCCCAGGCCTAGCCGGCTTGGCTCAGTGGATAAAGCATTGGCCTGTAGACTGAAGGGTCACAGGTATGATTCCGGTCAAGGGCATATGCCTGGGTTGCGGACTTGATCCCCAGTAGGGGGCATGCAGGAGGCAGCTGATCAATGATTCTCTCTCATCATTGATGTTTCTCACTCTTCCTCTATGACATCAATAAAAAAATATTTTTAAAAAATGAGCCCAGCAGTGGTTGAGCATAGACCCATGAGCCAAGAGATCCTCAGTTTGATTCCTGTCAGGGCACATGCCTGGATTGCAGCGGGCTCAATCCTTGGTGGGGCGTGCAGGAGGCAGCCAAATGATGTCCCTCTCTCATCCATGTTTCTATCTCTCTCCCTTCCTCTCTCTCTAAAATTAATAAAAACATTTAAAAATAAAAATAAAAATAAATGGGCAGAGGACCTAAACCAGTGATGGCAAACCTATGACATGTGTGTCAGAGGTGACACGTGAACTCATTTTTTTGGTTGATTTTTCTTTGTTAAATGGCATTTAAATATATAAAATAAATATCAAAAATATAAATCTTTGTTTTACTATGGTTGCAAAGATCAAAAAAATTCTATATGTGACACGGCACCAGAGTTAAGGTAGGGTTTTTCAAAATGCTGACACGCCGAGCTCAAAAGGTTCGCCATCACTGTCCTATTTATAATTTAAATAGACCCCAACCAGTCAAACAGAGGAAACAGGTCAGTTGGAGTCAGCTTTCTATTCTTTTCTGAGCAACCCTAAGAAATGAGGCCTACTTTGATCATGTAAAAGTAATGAAAAAACAACTCAAGCTCAGTAATTTCTCTTACATTCAGGGTTGGCAGGATAGCTGCTTAAATACAGCCTAATAAGAGTTTTATTTTTAGGAAAGTTTGAAGTCCTTAAGTACAGATTTTGGATAATGTAAGTCATTTTATATACACGTACCCATTACCTCAGTTACAGAAAGTACAGTTAGTATTTTGTCATATCAATGCCCATCCATTTGAGAAACTTATGTTTCTAGAAGAATATTTCACGCCATCACAGTCATAAAAAATGACCTGAGTCTGAATATAGGTATCTATTTGCCTTTGGATCTGTAATGTTCTCTGCTCTCAATCTTCAGGTGAAGTTCCTGAAACCTACCTGTTTTCCAAGACTTTTAAAGGAGACTGACATACCCCTCGACTAGATGTCCACAGAGAAAATCATAAAAGAACCAAGGGTGCAATAGCAGAACAACTCCCTGAAACAGTTGAAGGTACAGACTCGAAAAGCTTTGAGGCCTTTGCATTCCCCAGGCAGATATGCTGAATAAGAGTTTTTTGGGGTTTTTTTTGCTCAAGGAATAGGGGTCTTTTGAGCCAGGGGCTGTTACTGAAATTAAAATTCCATCCTGATCACCTCACACACTTGACCAGAGACTACAGAGGTTTGAAAAATCCCTTTTATTTTATCACACATGCAACATGAAGAAATCATGTGGCTTTGCTTTTTTTCTAAACAACAAAATTCACTGTTTAAAGAAGCAGTGGTCTGTATTGCTTATGACATGCTAAGCACTATGCCAAGTATGTGCAGAGGAAGCACCTAGGAAATCCTATGAGGATGAACAGTCTGATTCTATAGTCCAGATATGAGGACTGAGATTCTGCATTTCTGAGAAGCTTCCAGATGATACAGGTGCTGCTGGTCCTTGAACCTCAGGTTGAGTAGCAAGGCTTTATGTGGATGTACTAATGCAATCTTCTCTACTATATCAGGAAATCTTTGCTATTATTACCCCTACTTTAAAGATGAAGAAATTGAAGCACAAGAGACTATTCTGCCCAAGCTCACAATCACTGGGAAGTGGAAGAGCCCAATCCTAGATCTAAGGACTCTACTGTGTAACCTCCTCACTTTGCAAGTTCAAATGCAACGAAATAGAACAAATACTTCATTTTACCATTAAACCTAAAACACAAACGAAACTATTTAAGATGATATTCATGACAAGGTTTTACTATTCGTAATTAAAATTTTTATTAAACATTTGAAAATTTATGATTTCATTCCACACAGAGTACCCCCACCCTCAAATATTCAATTCCAAAAGGTTGCTAGAAGCATATGGTCAAATGTTCATAATTTTTGCTACCCTTTTCAAATAACTGGAGAATGGACCATGTACCCAGAGTGTGTGTGTTGCGGGGGAGGAGAGGGAGAGTGTGTGTATGTGTATGTGTGGGGGAGGGATAGTCAATGTGAAGAAGGGTTGGTGGAAGATGCAAATTAGAATATGAGAAGTCAGAATTCTAAATCCTTGCTGCTAAGTATTTATCTGAAGTATAGGCTGGTAGCCTGGGAAACAACATTTGCAGCGCTTGGGAACTGGTTGGAAACACAGAACCTTAGGCCCCGCCCCAGACCGGATGAATCAGAATGTGCATTTTAACCGGAACCGCAGATGACCGTGTGTACTTTGAAGTTTCAGACGTAAAACACAACTTGATTTAGATTCACTCCCCTACCAGAGTCTCTAGAGCAGCGGTTCTCAACCTGTGGGTCGCGACCCCTTTGGGGGTCGCCTAAGACCATCGGAAAACACATATATAATTACATATTGTTTTTGTGATTAATCACTATGCTTTAATTTGTAACAATGAAAACACATCCTGCATATCAGATATTTACATTACGATTCATAACAGTAGCAAAATTACAGTTACGAAGTAGTAACGAAAATAATTTTACGGTTGGGGGGTCACCACAACATGAGGAACTGATTAAAGGGTCGCGGCATTAGGAAGGATGAGAACCACTGCGCTAGAGGGTCGTGGCCTCAAAGACAATGGGGGGTAACAATACCTTTCCTATGCGGACATTTCATTTTTAACCCTGGGGCACTGCCGCTGATTAAGGCATGCCCCGGCCCTCCCAGGACCACTACCATCGCCTCCAGGGCTGGACCCAAAGGCTGCGGGGCATCGCCCCGCAATGCGACTGCGGCTGCAGATCACCA